TAATAGAGCTTAACATTGTCAAACATTACTCTGTGCATTAAGGACTAACCTGAGTGTTCTGATCAAATGTGGCAGTAGTTCGTATGGCTTTGGTATTGGTTCCATGGCTGAGCTCCGTCAGAGCAAAACATCCAAAAATCTAAATAAGGAGATACGAGGCACAGTTCAAGACCACCTTATTACAGTAGTTAAAACTGTGAGACTTTCAAATGATTGCAATAAAAGAGTAACAAAAGAAGCTCAGTTTGGGTGCACTCAGTATATTTATCTTGCAATATCAAAGAGGGTCTGGCCAGACAATGAACACTGCCCACACGGCCTAGACTGGAGAAACTCCAGTGTAGGACTGGAACCTCCTGTATCAGACAGGCTGCACTTATTCTGCAGGATACAGTCCTGAGTCTCCACTGGACTCCATATGGTGTTTCTCCGGCATTAAAACATTATTATTTTCCATTTTAGAGCATCAGAATGGAATTTTTATGGCATCATGGTAAGGGTATGGACATCCTGGTAGGACACTCTCAAATGACCGGAGAGAGACTAAGCTGGTGCAGTGTCATTTGTACTGCCTTCTGGAAGAAGTCCCCAGACTTTGCATGTTAACTTGGACAGTCTAAAAGAGATCCAGGAAGTGGTTTAGCAGCCAGTAGTGAGGATGGGCAGAGCTCAGTGCTTGAATCTGCCCCACGGTCTTTTCTTTTGCTATTTAGAAGTACTTAGGTATTTACAAAGATAGAAATAACAAAAAGCTGCAAGTGGTGACACGGTTCCAAAGGTGCCCACTTCTCACAAGTTATTTAAAAAAATTACCTCCATTCTATAAGCTTGTTTCAAAATGTGTGCAAACCTCTTATAAGCACTCATGATTGCCCCTGGAAATATCTGTAAAAACAGAGAATTACGAATTAAATCAGTGGCCTGTGATGGAATGCACAAATTGCACATGATTTGTAATAGTGATGGACAGTAAAGAGACCAGGGAAAGTGGGCTGTACAGTAAAGTACACTTAGATTATAGCTGGGAGAGGTAAGGTAGGATTTCATCTTGTCAAGGCCCCTTTACAGAAGACTAAACTTATCACAGATCTAACCTGTTCATGCCTCCATTGCAAACGCTTAAAAATGCTTTCTACTTGTCCTTAATGATGGCCCCTTGACTAAAGCAAAACCTAAAGACTATCCAGTTCATTTTACTACAAATGGATTAGGAACTGTTTTCCTAGATGGATATTCACATAACAAAATATAATTCCTGGATCCCCCTCTTCCATCTGAATAGTAATAATTACTTAATTCAACTGATATTATTTGACCAGCTATGTTGAGTATCCTGAGAGACTCATCTGGGAAACAACTGATTAACAGAATCCAGCCACTGATGTCAGCGAGAAACTTTACACTGGTTTCCATTCCTTCTGGATTCTGACCTTAATCAAGACACTGGGGTTTAGGCAAGGGAGTTTCTGATACTTGATACTTCTAAACAGCTGAAGTTTAATTCATTATTGAAAATAAAGGACTAGGGAAAGATATAACTTTAATAAAATAGGCATAAAGCCTACAATATTAGAAGTTACTGAAATTCAAATATACACCTCTATACCCCTTGACTTGTACTTACACCGCTATGTATGACAAATTGGAGACTTGGAGACCAATCATACATTCCTATACAGAGCACCATATTAAAGAACTTTAATGGGTTCTCTATGATCTCTTGTGGAGGAAGAAAATCATACTCAAAGAGCCTTTTACAGCGCAGAAATGTCAGCTCTTGATATTTCTCACGGCACAAATCTTCTCCAGGATGACGTGCAAAGAGAGGATCACTTTCCAGAGCAGAGAAGATTCTGTTCTTGAGGGCAAAAAAAATGACACGAGAATGTTAATTTAAAAGCATTAAAAAAACTAGTTAATTCTTCTAGGATAATACGGAACCTCAAACTACAATAATTTGATAAAAGGTGTAAATTTATAAAGCAAAAACTCCAGAGGATTAAAAAATATATTTAAATGGTCTGTCATTATATATGAAAGCTCATGAAGCTAAATTTTATGAAAGCTCCTTCATCATGAAGTAATAATGATTCACTGATTCGCTCTGAATGTACGAGAACAGTATGGTAAAACTTACTTGCTTTTTATAACAGCTTCTTTATTTCAATATATGAAGCTGCTGGCAGGATCTAAAGGGCAACATCCCTCAACCTGAGGACAAAGGTAAAACTCCAGGGAGTACGTTCAGTTAGAAATATGCCGTGATGGTAAAGCCATTAAGCTACGACAACTGCTCTGTTCCCAGATGAAAGCAGAAATGTACTCCATTTAATGGAACCATCATATGCAGCCACTCAATACAGGAATGTGCAACTTTTAATGTTTTACTTTGGATCTTTTTTTCCATTAGATGATATACTATGGCACTTTTTTACCTCAGATCTGTGTCTTCAAGAAATCCACATCTTAATTGTCTTTCATGTAATTTAGAAAAAAAAAATTGCAGTGCCTTAGGCGAAATCTTTTAAAATGTTTTTGAAGTCCTTTCCTTCTCTCTGAAGAGAATGACACAATAAGAAGGAAGAAAACCAGACTCCTTGTACTTTCCTTTGAAAAGCAGGGTCATTCCTTCTCCCTGGATGCACAACACTATATGCCCACAAGCTTTGAAACTCCCTCAGATACAGAGTACTTGTGTTCTTTCTATGCTCTTACCAGTCAGATGCAGAAAAAGGCCTTTTGATTTCTCTGATCTACCTGCTAGGATTTTAATAATTATGGTGAACATTCAAAATTAGCTTAAATCCATATAACTTTACACCACCTTCAAAAAAGCTAGCTCTTTCTCCTCTTACATCTCCAAGTCATGCATTTCCACACCATCTTTTGTGCTGCAGTTAATCTCTTTTTTTCGGTAGGGTTAGCTTTCAGCGAGGTAGACATGCTAATCTGCCCAACTGCAACATCACATAAGCATTAATGCAAGCACAGAAGGTTGTAGGAAATTATGTCAGGTGAAAGACAGACAGAAATACTATGTTTGACAGTGGCTTGAACTTAGCTCCACTTAAGTGCCTTGCAAAACCATGGGATAAATGACTTAATGCAAACAGTAAAGAAATATGGTAGAATATAGTTCTTTCTCAGTTTGAAATGAACACTTAAGTTCTGTAATGTAGCACCTGCTGGTCTCCCCTATACTGATGTTTAGTAATTAAATGAGCCTTATGAGACAGCAAAGTAGGTTGCTTAAAAGTTCATCTCTGTTCTGAAAACTGGATAAGGAAGCCCAGTTTCTTCATGCTCCCTGTTTACTGAGTATTATTAACTACTCTTCCTTTGAAAATCACATACTTGCTTCTACTGATATCTCCAGAAGTAAAACATGTTTACAGTTCTTGCAAAGTTTACCTTTAGTTGGATGATATCTTCTCCATCTAGTAACACTGCCATCTCTTTCCAGTTGAAGGAAGCTTTCTTACGGTATCTGCAAAGCGGGCCTTTGGGTAAATCTGGGAGCAAACTGTCCCACGAATTTTGGTTGCCAGTGGCTTCTTTCTGATTGGGTGTGGATGCCATTGTTGGCTAAACTGCAATCAAATGAGAAAAGATAAAATCACGAACTGAAGTTGATTTTTAATAATAAAAAGAAATCAAAAGGGTTGTTAATTAAATCCATAGACTTCTTTAAATGTATGTGTACAGCAGAGCAGAGCCAACTAAAAGCTTGTCCCTTCCTTTTTCTGATTCAACTGACTTGATACAAAGTAAGAAAAAATGCCTTTGATCAAATGTAAATGAATGACATTGTCTTTGTTACTAAAAGAGCTAAATACGAAACAGGGACACTATTGGTTAATATTGTGTAGTAAGAAAGGGGTCGATAAAAGACCCAGGCAAGAAAATACCATGTCTTAAATAGCAAAAGCAGTAAGTCCCCACAAAGTCTTCTGGCACCTTGCTGTGTGCATCTATGGGTCATGCAAGAGCACTGCAAAACTGCACAGGTGCTGCAGGATTTCTTTACCAGTTAGTACAACCACACTGGTTTAGGAGAGAAGGAACACCTCCCTTTTCGTTAGAACCTGGCCTAAAGGAGTAAAGGCTGATAGCTCTGCTGCTTACAGAAGCTGGTGTCAGAGGGCCCTCTGCTGCTCATGGCACACCAAACAATTCCTGCCACCAGACAGCAGAGATCTCTGTCATACTTGTAAAGTGCAAAAATCATCGGACAGGGGAGCAGAATCTGGCCATGTTCTAACAAGGAAACTGTCTGGAAAGCAATTCAAAAGTACAGGTAGGACATCCAGCTGCAGGGCTGTCCAAGGGCTCCATGTGGACTTTGAACATTAAAGTACAGAAACCACTAGTTCAGTCATATGCTTTTTCCATCACATTTTTTCCCTCATCATCTTGTTATACCTCTTTGCTACAGCTTCAACCTTATCCTTTCATGGAGGACATCCCCTAGTTGTGGACAGTACAAACATAGCAGAAGAGGACTGCAGGATAGTATTTCTGCATGTGACTTCCAAATCAGCTTTACGAAGGTGCAGCTCCAGTACTGAACAATAGGTTTGGAAAGAAACGAGAGGTGGGAGGAAAGAAGGGCAATGAGAAAGTGTTTCAACCTGCAGCCAAATAAATAGGTATACCACTTTTAACTGGAAAACAGGTAAATCAGGCAGAAGTTCAAGGCTTCTGACTCATAACAGAGAAAAAGATTATGTTGAGATATTGCAGGTACTGCATCTAACTTTACTGACATTGCAAATCAGTGAGATTGCCCATATGAGAAAAAATAATAAATAAAATAATAAAAAAAAGGATCCTGTACTTAAATCCGACTTTACACAATGTTTTAGTATAATCTGGCTCCAAGCAAACAGTTTCAAAACTAACTAGGAAACCAAAACAGGCGGTTACAATAGGAAAGTAACAAAGCACTGCCCTAAAGAATATCCTCGGTGTTGATTTTAGCCTTGTCCTGATATGTCGAAATGCGTGTGCAGTTGGCAGTAAAAACCACGTTATTTTCAATTTGCCAAGAGCGGCTGCAGTTTCACCGCGAAATGCTGAGCTGGCAACCTTTTTCTGCGGAAAGTGCTCCTGCTGGTAATTCAAATTCATGACCGGACAGCAACAGCGGGTCACAAATCACGAGGGGAAACGTCAGTTTGCAGGGCACTATCGTCGATTATCTTGTGTAACAACGACACAGCTCAGACACTTGGTAGTGCCAAGAATAATGTACCCTTATTCTGTGAGATTACATCAGCAGTGTTTGTTTTATTTTATTTTATAGCGGCTCTGCATTTCCGAGTGAGCTGCTGAGGGCAGTCGCCCAGAGAAGGACAACCCCGGGGAGGGTAAAGGCAAGGCACGAACCACTTCTGCGGGAGCCCTTTGAGGGTTCACTGCACAGCCGCTACTCGAACTGCCTGAATTCACGGCAGGGCCTCGCTTCTGCTCAGAGGAAGCAGAAAGAGACTACGTTTTGTGTACGAAATGTACACAAAATGTATCGAGACGTTTCCTTGGAAGAGACGGACAGCTGGGACTATCAGAGTTCCCGGTCTGGAGTCCGCTCTCAAGAAGGCTGTGACAGCGACACAGACCTTCCCCAAACAGTGCTACAAATGCAGTGACGACCCTGCAGCCTCACTCGCTGCCGGGAGCTCAGGGCTCCCCGTGTTTCCAGCCACAGCGGGGTCTCTCCCCGCACCCTTCAC